GTGTTTTCTCTGTACTTTGTAGTGCTTAAAATAACACTCTGGGAGTTAATGCTGATTTAACCTTGATTGTCAAAGGACAGAGAGGCAGTAGTTGATTCCTCCTGAAAGTCAATTACTTGAACTTTGAAAATTTTAAAATGAGAACAAAAGGATTTCTATACAAATGTTTGTTGAGAATCCAAAGAAAAAAGTTATTTGATAATCCAAAGAAAAAGTCCTAATTTAATATATAGCCATGTAATTTTTTTTAGTAATAATATTGTCATCAGACAATTATTTTTGTCAACTCTTTGTGAATAGATGCTTTGTAAAGTAAGCAACTGTCTACATAGTACAAAATATTGATGGCAAACTGTGAAACCCATAAACCTTCTTCCAAATATATAATCATAAAATGACTTTATTGACAGCAACTCCAACCTTTTTTTAGAATGACTGGAATATTTTGGCTGTATCACACTGTCCCCCTTTTTGATTTGAACTAATTTTTACACACAGGGTTCTATAGCAAAAGTAAAATTTAAAGAGTAGGTGTTTTTTTTTCATCCACTTGTAATTGTGCTTTAATAGCAGTTCAAATAGAAGGTTACTTATGTTTTATTTAGACTATATTTTGTTTAGATTATATTTTTTAAAAATTATTTATTTAGATTATCTAGATTACAAAATTGTACTTTCTAATAGTATAATATTTGGCAACATTCCCCATTATACTTTCACCAGAGGCTAAAACTCTTTATAAACTTTTCTGCTTTTTTAACAAAGGCTTTGTATAGAACAAACAGCATATTTATTGAAGTAATTTAAATATGCTATGCACATTTAAAAAGCTTGTTTTCTCTTTACATTTTGTATTAGTTATAAACATGCATATAATATGACAGACCAGAAGTAAGTACTTGTGCATATATATTTTTATTTACTAAATCTGCGCTCATATGGAAAATATGGCAATAGAATACTAAAAATATTTAAAATTTAAAGCTGTGTATAGTATGGAATTTAATTATAAGGAAAATATTATACTTATTATTCTTATTAATTATTCTTATAATCAGAATTGCTCACCTGTAGAAAAGATGCCTTGGTTACAATACTCTTTATTAGCTTAACTGACAGCACATAAGCAGAAATCTACTTTATCTGTTCTTACATTTTTTTGCTGTTGCAATTAAAATAAGTTTTAAAATTTATTTAAATTCCTGATAGTTACATGAAATATAAAGAGGTTGCATTTAAAAATTGGCAGAATTATTTCTATAGCAACTGTTGTAAAACTGGAAATTATGTCAGGTCTCTATTTAGCAGATCCTATCAGAAAAAGCCTCAATGTATAGGTAAGCCTTGCCCTTATTTAAGTATAGAAACAACAATGCCACCATGCTGGAAAGGTGGGATGGCAATTAGAAATAAAATAAAATCCTGGGTTGTTTTTTTCCCTTCCCTCTTCAAAATAGTAAAATTTCCCTCTGGAAATGTTCTAGAGTATTATTACAGGGCTTCTGGTTTATAAATATAATGGGTAGAGGGAACACAGCTGTTTTGTACCCTAAAAACCCCATTTTTGTATGTATTTGGGTGCTGGAACCGAATCTTTTACTTCCTGCAGGTATTCTTTGAAAATGTTTTTCCTTTGTTTACTCCATGGAGTTTGGAGAAGAATTCAGTTTCAGAAGTTAAAATTCTTAGTTTTTGAAAGAATTTTCCATCAGTCAGTGTCTGATCTTGCTTCTGTCAAATGAAAGGCTATCTGTCTTTTAGCCCATAAATTGTACAACCTCATATGTAAAAGTTGTTGATACAGAGGTGGAGCGCAAACATGAGAACTGAACATGCAGCCCTATGACTGAGGATTGAGATCTGAAGCATTGACTCAACTACCATTCTACTATATTTAAAATTTTTTGTTGTAACATAACGATTTTTACTAATATTTCACAGTTAAAATATCTTAAATATGTAGTATAAATGCATCAATGTGTTGCACATAAATTGTGCCTTAACATGGAATTTTGGGAAAATCTATTCCCTATAAATTACAGAGTGAGGGTTAAGAATTCTTTCCTTACTAAAATACAAAAATTAAGTCAAAGGGCATTTTTCATATTTGGGATCCATCAGGTAACAGTCATTGTGAATAACGAGGTTGCATTTTCCTTGAAGTTGTTTGTACAGTGGGGAGTAAGAGGAATATGCAGAAAAGGTTGTGATTGTGTCTGCTGTTACAGCTGTGGTTGCAACTGTCAACTGGTTCATGATTTTTAATTTCAGTTTGCTAATATGTAGCTTCGTTGTCTAGTACAGTAAGTCAAATACAGGTATCTCCCCCTTAATATTAAAGAATACTTTGTCTTCAAAAGACTGTTTTGACTCCTCTGTAAAAGTCATATTTTCATTTAAATGAAAAAACACATGAAGCTACACATCTAGTGCTTTCCAGTCACTATAAAATCTCTGTTTTGTTCAACATCCCTGCAAAACCAAATCCATTGTTCTATGGAATTAATCTGTCCAACAGTACTGACATGTTCATAAGCCTCAGAGACAGCTTCACTGGCAGCTGCAGTCTGAGATAGGAGATCTGCCACTTTAAACCCATGTTGTGGACTGGAATGATGCCCTGTTGGTTCCACCCTGTGCAGGGCTCCAGCCAGGCTGGGTCAGTAATGCTGCACTGGCCATGGCCAGAGCTGAGCATCCCCACAGGCCCAGGACAGGCCCAGGAGAAGCACAAGGAGAACCTTGTACTCCATGTGCTTTCTTACCTGCCAGTGGAGTACCTCCTGGGGATCTCTGGAATACTTTCAGCAAGCCTACAGGATTTCACTGTTGGATTTCTTTCCAGAATTGACATATTACACTACTATTTTTTTTTCCTGAAAATGCCTTAGAACACTTTTTAATTGGTATAACAGTTCATTTAGTAAAATCTTTATTATAATAGGGCAATTAAACAGTGTTCTGACCTGGGTCACTGTTTACTTCAGATTCTGGTTCCTAATATTTCAACACATAACATTTATTTCATACTAAGAATTCAATCCATCAAAGCCACAGGACTAGGGCCCTGACAGCATGAGAACAGTAACAAACCTGTCTGTTCTGGCTAAACAAGGGATCGTTTTTGGAAGGGATTTTACCAAGCACTAACACCAGGTATTTCATTGCCCTGTGTTTTGGTATGTGGCAGTAGCATGCTCTGATCAGCCAGAGACCTGTCCCAGTGCATAGTACTGCCAGGCCAACCACATCCATTCCCTCTGTTTCTCCCTGTCACATAGTAACAGAAGCAATTCCCCATCCAACTCGGCTCACCTTGCCAAAACAAACTCAATTTTCACACAATTATCTGTTAGCAAAAGATGGAAGTTTGTGTTGAAAAGTACCTCTTGCCTGAGATCAAAGCAATGGTATTACCACAAGCCAGTTTCTTCTGACTAGTCTCCTATTCTGTATAAGTACACACAAAAAAAGTAGCAAATACCTGTAAACTACAAAGATGGTCTTGTTTTCTCTTTAGATGGTGGCAGGGATCAGGGAGAATGAAAGGAATGGATATTGCAAATGCCACAAGAGCATGAACACACCTATTTGCATTGAGGTGGCCTGGATTCTGGTATGACTCTCAGCAGAATTTTTAACTATCTAGTTGTGTTCTGAACAGGTGTTTTGTGGAATAGCCATGTTTGCTCCAAACTGATATGCCACTTTGTCTGAATCAAACTTGAAAAGTGATTTGTACACCTGAAGGTAAGGTTCTAAATGAGCTCATTCTACGTGGAGAAGTTCAACAGTGCTGTGGTTGGCTTGGCACTTCAAAATTGGCTTGTTTATCAGAGTAATAGACAGCAATGGTGTTGTACCTAAAACCACAAATTGCTACTTTCTGGATGAAAATTACCACTACACTCACTCCAGTACAGATTCAGAATATAATGGACTCTTAAGCAGCTCCTCATATTTGCATTTGACTTTTCTTTACAAGGACTCCAGAAAAGGTCCCTAACTAGAGTTTTTGCAGTGAACAGAAGCAAATTAAGGTTATTTAACAGTGTCAATACAGCTACATTTTTTATTAGGAGCATATTTAGCAACTGAGTAAGCATTCCTCTTTTTGAAAGCTTCCTCTATAGTTAGTTCCTCACTTATCACCTTTCCAGTAGAGACATAAATACTGAAAGGAGTCACTGAAAAGGAATGGAAAAGGGTGAATCACCAAGGGCAAATGGCAAGTTTTCATGCTTTGGTTTGCAGGAATTGAGTATCAGTCACTGAGAAAGTAATCTGTTTTCAAAGGAACAGCAAATGAGAAGAGGGAAAGGAGGAGTGCTACATGTTAATCTATTCAGATCACAATCATCAAAAATTCAAGGGCATAAGCAAAGCCTTAGGGTTTTCTAATATCTCTTAGGGGTGTCACCATTCTATCTCTGGCTAGAGTTGAACAATAGCTTTTCACAGAAATGCCTGCTGGAGTATTCTGAGAATTTGCAATAGGATTTTTGAAGTGGGTAAATGTTTACAAAACAGGTAGTAAGAGAAGTAATGTCCGTTCATGAGCTGTACCCATCTTGATACAGAAAACAGACATTTTTGAAACCTTGTATTCAGCTCCTGAACTTGAGCTTGAAGATTTAGTATCCACATCTCCACTATATGCTTTCAGAAACCTCAGAGATACTACACATTAAAACATGCCTTTCTCTGAGGCAAAAAATTATTTAATATGCCCATTTAATGCTTGTGATACAGCACTGTTGTGAAAAGATAAGGTAAATGCCTATATGATTCTGTTTTTTAAGAGGATATCAAAAGTATCTCCGCATTAAGGCTTTTTGAGAAATAAGTTACTAATTGTACCAGTAAACACAATTCTATAAAAAATTGAGGTTAAGTTCACATCAGTTTAATTACAATTCACAGCACAGCCAGTGAGGAAGAGTAAAGTAAGTTTCTCACTGTGATTAATGAATTTTCTATATAAAGAAAAAGAAAAAGAATTGATGTCTAATTGTTTTATTTTTATCAATGCATATAGTGCACCCATTACCAAGTATTTTTAGGTACATGAACAACAGAAATTTGAAAATACATAAAATATTGACTCCAAATGGACAAACTTAACAAATAATAATGAAGAAAGTCTTTGTGGTTCAGATGTGTCAAACATATTTTAAAAACATAAACACAATTAAAGTTAACAGCACTAAAGCTATAAAGGGTTAAGATAAAGTTATACAATCATGTCCCAGAGTATCAGCACACTTATTCAATTCAGCTGGATTAGCACCTTGGCACTAGTTGCTGAATGGCTCCCAATTACTATTACATTACCAACACCAGGTGTCAAAGATAGATTTTTTTTAAGCAATATGCAAAAGGCTTTTTTTTTCCGCCCAGCAGTTCTTTGGATAAAACATACAATAAACAGAGAGAAAAAAAATGTACTCACTATATTTGAGTTTCTAACAATTAATTACTATGTTATCTGTACTGTAAGAAATTCTTAAGTATTGTTGGCAACTGGAGTTGTGGAACAAGATGCAGTCTTGCTCTTCCTATGTAATTTCGGATACATAGTCGGCAAAGCTGACAAAGAGAAGATGGTGTGGCTGCAAACAATAAAGAAAGGAGTTTAATTGTACAATTATTAAAGCCAGCACTTTGTTTTACAACAGTCTTGTACAAAAATGTGATTTCTAAAGAAAAAACAAGGGAAAAAAGTTCACATTTTGCAAATTTGACCTTTTTCTTCATTCCCTTTCCTTCATTGCTGCTTAAACCTTAATAATAATTAAGGAAATACTAAGGAAAGCAAGACAAGATCAGTTTTTTTTTAATTAAGAACCAGCTCTCAGAAAATATCTGATATCAATAACTTTAAAATTGGGGACTTATTGTTTTGGGTTTATTCACAGCACAAGTTACATACCTGCCACAGCACTGCCAGCTGCACTACCAATGCATCACTGCAACAAAAATAAGCAGGCAAAATACCCCAAGATCCTGGACCCTATTTAGTGGTCTTACTAGTTAATCATAATCTTTATCATTCTGCCCCCCACTCCTTCAAAATGCTATTTTCTTTGGATAATAAACCTATATCTTTTTCATGCCATGTAATTTTTTTTTCTTTGCTCTAACTTAAAAACACTACTAGTCTTGGTAAATTTATGAAAACATAGAGTTTTTAGTGGGATTTTGTTAGTAGTATTCAGACTACAGGGTGTTTTTTTGGAGGAAAACATGAATCAGTCTTACTTGTCAGTTCACCTCTAAAGAGATGCCCATGGTTATTGAAATAGTTTCATCCTCTTGTGGCTTATTTTTACATTATACATAGTTCAGTCTGAATAAGTCCAGTTCTCTTTGGAATATTCTCTCTCTCCAAAGCAGATAGACCTTTAAGAGGTTTGAGGAACTATAGCCTCTTTAGTCTCCTGTTTCTCAGGTTTTTAAAACTTTGTAAAGAAAATTTAGAAAATTAAACTTCTTAAGCTTTTTGCCCACAATCATAATAATTTGCTTTATATCCACATAAAATACATATTTAAAAATATTATGACAGCTGACCAAAATGAAATATATTTTTAACCTGAAATTTAAATACTCTGTTTCTTTTAACAAGGTCTGTAAAAAAACAATAAAAATGTAGCTTTAATGTCTACTTTAGTAAACACCCAATGAACATATGATGATAATTTTTCAGCCTATATAAATTCTGATGCTGCTTGGTCAATGGGTTCTGGCCTGAGGCTAAATATTGCTGAGTATTACTGAGGCTAAATATTCCTTAGAAAGGAAATTACTTGAATGCTCATATATTCATTTCATATAGCAGCACAGTGTTGCCTTCTATAACTTGGGTTGTTTGGACTGTTAAGTTGGAGTTTTTTCTAGGTGGGTTTGGTTTTTTTAATAATACAAGTTACAGTTTCAAATATAAGCATCTAAAACTTACCTTCATGGAAGAGCAGCAGTCTTTCCACTAAACTGCTTGGGGCAGCTAAATCAACAGGCCTCTCAAAATCTGAATTTTTGGCATTTATGTCTGCCCCAAATTCAAGGAGTAAGTTTACAATCTCTGTACTAGAATGCTGGGCAGCAGCATGGAGTGGAGTTTGCAAATGCTTTCCCTTCTGCACATTGGCACCTGGTGGGTGGAAGCACATAAAGAGACGTAAGGAGAGATTAATTAAATTTGCCATTGAGTAAGAAAGACAAGGCTACAAAACAAAGAAAAAACACCACTGCCCTAGAATGCCACAGTGCATTTAGCCACTTTATTATTATTTTATTGTATAGAACTATAACTAATCACATCAGTGGTTTTTTGGGTTTTGTTTTTTTATCCTAGGTTTTATTATCTAAGTACAACCAGACAAAAAGGTATCAAGTAACCAATCAGGTAACATGAGCATCACTGTTACCTAATCATAAAAAGCACTTTTTGTACACATTTAAGAAAATTTGCACTACATAAAAAATATACTTTCCTTATTTAAGTCTTAAAAAAATATCACTAAACTGAAGTTTTGTATGTATATTTTTGTGAGTACACCAACTCAAAAATTAATCTTGAATGCCTTATAATTTTTCACATGTCGAAGCTGGCAAAGGGTTTGAAATAGACTCCTATCCCATACAACCTTTATTTATTAATCTATAAATTAGTTTTAATTTTAATTAAGGTGAGATACACAATCAAGAAAGCTAACAGGAAAAAAAAAAAAAAAACCCAAACCATTAATTCTCCCAATCCATGGGTTCTAATTAGTATACTTTTGTATTCATAGGTAATTTTTAACATGTTTTAAATTAAAATGGACTAAATTAATTTGCAATAATGCATTCATATTCAAGAAAAAAATCTATACAAGAGTTAAACTAAACTAGCTAGTATAAAAGAATCTCCCTTACACAGGGAAGGTGTTGCTTCATCTAAAACCCAGCCTTCTTCAGACTTCTACTGACCTTGTGAGACCAAAAATTGCCTTCTGTACCAACTTTACTCCCTGAATCAAAACTTTTTGCATTTTAAATGTCCATTTGAATAAAATAATAATGTCACAGGTATATAGCAATCGGATCTGAAATCTGAATAATTCCCTGTTCTTAATTTTAACAATTGGAGTGCTCTTCTGCATTCTCTTGCTTATTTCATTGTCTATCTGCTTTTCAACTTCTAATACATTCTTACAAACTGATAAAACATGAAAAAAATTAAATTACATAAGTAGTTACTTATATTCTCAATTTACACACCCCTTTCTACAGGTGCCCTTCTTCAGGGCACCAACAAATGTAGAATATGTGCTTCTATTACTGTTTTTTTCTGTATGGTAGTATTTGAATCCCAAAATACGCTAATTATACTTTTGCTGTTCTTAACCATAAAAAATCATTACATAGGATAATTAATCATTTGAGGAAGTGGACTCAATGAGAAGCACTTTAACTACCTGTTTAAGTTCTAAATATAGCATGCAATCAACTAGAAAAAACTATTCTGATGCAATGATAGCAAGGCTGAATTATTCATATATACATTTTAATTCCTTGTTCTGCAGGATGCAAAAGCCCTGTATGTAAATACCTGAAAAATAGCAAATTGTCTTTCAGCTATGCCAATTGTGTCCCTGGACTTGTGCTGAAACAGAGCCAGCCTTCAACATCTCTTACCCATTGATTAAATAAATAATCTGAAATTTAGGATCAGATGCCTTTTACCTTATCCCTTCCCTCTGCAACTCAGCCTCTATGCTTTGTGCAAAGCTCAGAACTTGCTGAAAAATGAAAGCAAGTGGGACTTCATTGCTAAAATAGTTCAACTGAAATCTCAATGATTACTATATGAAATTCCCAAAGTTCATTTTCTACCCTTGTTTTTCCTACAGAAAATTAATATGTACAAAGCTGCACTATGTGCTGAAAATTTTGAACATTCATTCTTACTGGTCTTGCTTCTTTTTCCTCTTCTGTTTACTATGGCACCAAAAAATGAAAAAAATAGTAAGTTATAAGAAAACATGAATCAGCATAAACTTTGAAGTAGAACCCTGCAAGCAAGGGTTCCAGCTGACTTCAAAGGTGAATACAATATGCTTATTTTACTGACCAGTAATATTTTTATTTAAATCATGACATACCTGCATAAAGAAGCTTTCGAATGCAATGGATCTGCTGTGAAACACAAGCTACATACAGAGGTGTTCCTAAATGAGGAAGATCTTGGTCAACATCTATACCCCAGGATATCAGTACCTCCAGACATTCACTGTGACCTGTCAGTACAAAGCATGACAGTTTGCTCAACTTCAGTACGATGTCTCATGGACAAAACCACACATATTTTGTAACCCTCTTACTGAGACATTGCTCAACTGCTCCATGTTTATTGAGGAGCTAATTTCTTACCTCTGCTGGCTGCTTCATGTGTTGGTGATGGCAGACAAGACTCCCACTGAGCTTTCGCACCATACTGTAACAGGAGCTCAGCACATGCTGCACTGCCTCTCGAACAGGCATTAAATAAAGGTGTCACTCCATCAATTGTTGTAGCATTTACCTAGAACATATAAAATCTATTTACAAAAAGAATTGAAAAAAGGTAGATTTTTAAACAGGAAATAGTTAGAAGTTGCATAAAATACAAAAAAAAAAAAAAAAGTACTAGTTAAAATAAGTTAACTGACCAGTCCCAGTGAAACTCTTCTTCTTACCATGCTTCTCAGTTGGAATTAGTTTACTATTATTCTTGTTAAACTATGTTGGATAAATACACCTGGAATACTAAAGAGCATATATTGACATCTGGGCAGTAAATAATTTTCAAAAGTCATTGCACTGAGCTTGTTTCACTGATAGAGAAAATTTACATTTTGTGTACTAACAAGATAAAGGGATCTTCTCTCCACAGCTCTGGCATTATTTGCCATTTTCTTCTGCAGTTTTAGTCTCCAGGTTCAAGTGATCTTCGACAGGATGGAGACAAAGCTAATAGCATAGGCTCACTGTTTTAATACCAACCTCAGCACCTCACGCTTCAACTGAATATTTCCAGTGTGACAGAGTAAGGAGACAAAGCAGGCAACTTTGTGAGGGCTAATAATGCTAAAGGAAGAAACACAGGTATGAGGAGAAGGTTCCTTCCAGGACTCTGATCCATCTTCTTCCATGCATGATCCAAACCCACCAAAACAATTAAAACTACTAAAAATAAACCAGGAGGGAAAATTAATTTTTTTTATTATAGTTTTGTATCTTTAGAATCCTTGTGGTAGTTGAAGTAGGGAGAAATTTGCTTTGGAAATATCTATGTATCATTTTTCTATAATAACACAGACGTATTCCACATGGTTCTGAAAACTGAATTTAAGAACAATAAATATTTCCATTACACAGATCAGAGACCTGGGAAGCTATGCACTTGAACTCTGATGTCAGCAGACATTGCACTAGAAGTGATCTGTAAAGTCCCATTTTCTTTTTGGGCTAAAAGATAAGACAGCCTCTGTCAGGAGCACAGAAAAGAGACTGTGCTTTTTTCTACTCATACCAAAGAATTTTAAGAGCACACAGGTGCAGTGTGACAACAGACATTCTGAAGATTAAAAGTACAGTCTCCTGAAAGCCACTCAAAGCAAAAGGAACCCAGTAAAGCAGAGGAATGCATTCCATACTTTTGAAGAGAAATATCAGAATGAATACTGCTAACAGATTCCCTCCAATTCATTACTGTCTCAGTGGCTGCCCATCACTCTCACTGGATATCATTCAGATGGCAGCTGTAATTACATGAGATGAGCACAGCCAATAGGGTAAGTAGAGACAAATTACATTAAAATCAAGGAATATATCCTTCTCAGTTAAGCCAAGGTTAGAATTGGAGTTCGTATATAAGAAAAGAAAACAAAAGCCTTACATTTGCTCCTGCTTCAAGGAGGATTCTTGCACATCCTACATGGTCTCCCAGGCAGGCTTCATGGAGTGGAGTTACTTGGTCAATTGTTAGTGTGTCTACATTGTACCCCTAAAATAGATGTGAATGGTATTTAAAGATCATACAAAACCTAATAAGAGTCATTTCCTCACACTACTGTTCAAATGAATAGTTTACAATACTCTAAATAGGCTTAAAACTCAACTTGCAATAAATTAATCCTCAGTGAGTTGTTTTTTTTTTTTTTTAATTAGAAATAGGCATAAAATATGCAGACTGTTTAAATGCACAGTGACAGGGCAAAAGGCAACAGACCCAAGTCAGAACATGGCAAATTACAAGTAGCTATGTGGAAAGAAAATTAACTGGGGGACAGTGAAACCCTGAAACAGATGAGAGAAAGGGTGGTGCATCTCCAATCTTGGTAATCTTTAAAACCCCACAAAGACCTGAGTCTAAGCTCTTCTATGATTCTACCAACCTGTGACTTAAGGTCTGAAATACCCAAAGCTATGAATTTTAGCAAAGAAAACATTTACTAGATTGATAAAATCACCAAGCCCTCTAAATATTTTGCAGTAGATGTTGTATGATTCTTAAGAACTAACAATTGTATCTACCTGCTTTCATCAAATGTATTCTGTAGTATAATTTTTCAGTATTGAAATAGCTAATAGGACAATATTGTAATATTAAAATTTAGCATTTACAGTCTCTCCCTTTGATATTAGCAAATTTTTTTTAAATGACAACAGTGCAAAACCCAGAATCTTTCAGTGATTTTTCCTGTTAACTAGTATCTTCCTGACTAGTTCTATTTACCCAAGGCTTAAAGCAGTGAAACTGCTTTATATTGAATTATACCATGCAAGAGAGGACGACTGACATAAATTTAGACACAATTTTGGTTTGATTGTTTTTTTTTTTTTTTTCCCTAGGGGGAGAATAGGAATTAAAACATGCAGAGGAAATATTGAAATATTTTAAATACTAGCTTGTATCTTATAATATGAAAAATTCCTAAATATGTATTGCTTTGAAAAATTCAAGTGAAAAAAGCAAAACAAAGCATACTAAATCTGCATTGATAATCTCTGCTGAGAAATTAACTAACATTAAAAATGAAAGCAATTGTAAAAACAGAGGCTTCACCTGTGACAATAAAGTCTTCAGAGAAAGAAGACGTCCTTGACTGGCTGCCTCATGCAGAGGCGAGCGATCTGCCCAAGAACCTATATAAGAACAACATTTATTGAATAAGCCATATGAATTAGAAAGGGTTTGGAATGCACAGAGCAAAGCAGAAAATATGATGAACAGAATGAAGTCAAGTATCCTATGAAATTAATTTCTCCTCTTTAGAGACGTAAATGATCAGTTCCTAAACAGTAAAAAAGCGCTCTATTATTAATTGTAAACATCTCTAATAAATCATTATGTGGTCCATAGAACAAAATATTGAGATATTGATATCAATAATGTGATTTAATAAATTAATGAATGACCATATTCCATTTATATTTTTGCATTGTTCATTTTCAATGCACATAATAAAACTTTGTAGCTGGAATATAGGCATTATTTGAATTTAAACCAGATGTAAAGCTGCCTGAAGAGGTCACAAAGAAGCTGGTGTATATGAAAAGCAATGTGGGAATCTATGTATGGTGAGATTAATTTGAAGCTACTACACAAGTGCAAGGAGAGAAATACAGTGAGAATCACAGTAAAAAAAATTACTATAGTATAAAAAAGATATAAAGCCTAAGTTCTCATTCTATAAAATATAAGGCTTCAAAATAATTTGATATGTTTACTGTAAAGGTTTGGCCTTTATTTTAATTTATTTATCTCCCCCCAAAAGAGACAGGTGAAAAAAAAAAGTTACCCAACAACAACCCTGTGTTCACACACATAAGCCTCCCTAACTCTCAGCCCAGCTTCCAGAGGCATCCTGAAGCTCTTGCTGAAGGACCTGCCCTTTCCTGTACATACTGCACACTGACAGGTCCCTTCTAGCCAGCCGTGGCTGCAGGCAGAACTGATACCAATTTATGGCAGGAATTTTGAAAATGCAGTTTTGAGAGGCTGTGCAAGGAAGAAACATCTTCAAAATGTATTATGAATTATCAGTATTTATTCCTCTAAGAACAAAATCACTAGAACCGTAAACTACTGATACAATCCCTTGTGTGAGTTACATCAAGCTGCCCAAAATTCCTGAAGACACGTAGAGAGAATTAGCCTGGCATGACGAATAGGAAACATTGGCAGATGACTCTTCAGGTGTGCAGGTTTGACTCTGCCATGGACAGGGAGTGCCTACAGAGCCAGCCACTGCATTCAGTGGCCAAGCAGCGAGTCTGAAATGCAAAGGCTGTTGCTCAATCACTGGCAGTCATCAGGCTAAGCTCTAAGATAACTACACCCCAGAAATAGACCCTGTTTCTCTTTCCTATTGGACTCCTTCTGTCCACTAGCCTGTTTCAGAAAGTACACTTTTGTTTACTATAAACAACGCCCTCAAATCACATCAAGAATGATGAAAAGATTAAGGCTATTCAACCTGAAATCAGGGCCTAGTTAAAAACACATGAAATAGTGCACAATAGGAAAATGTAAATAAAACCTACATTTTCCTACTGGTGTTAGTGAATGAGACTAAACTTACATAGACGTATGACTGCATCTTGGAGAACACAGTGCACTTTGTGACTCAGCACTACTGAATACTACTGAGATCAAAAACTTGGCAAAACAAAAGCACAGATGACTATTTAAATTGTCATAAGACTACATAAAGCTGATCACAGAAGTTTAAACATATGACAATAAGGTTTTATAAACCTGATTTTAAAAATGCAGTAAGATTTCTATAATGTCAGAGTATCCTGTATGTGTGAAGCTTCGTGAACTCTTTCATCTATGGCAGTAGATGGGCTATTAGCAAGATCCAGTTTCCCATGCACACACATTATTCCCTGTACTTTTTACTTCAGGTTTATTTAATGTAATGTTTTGAAAGTCTTATTGATAGTCTGAGTTAAAAAAAAAGAAACAAAACCAAACCAAACGTAATTTAAAAAACCACAAAATTTAAAAAATCTACAAAACAAACAAACAAACAAACGAAAAACCACACACAAAAAAAAAACAACCAAAAAAACCCTTTAAAAACCCCACACACAAAATTATTTGGATTATAAGGGCTATTATACATTAAAAAACCTTGAGCTCAGAAACCTTCAAGTGAATCAATTTTGACAAATCATCAGTATTTTTGTTGTCATACCAATAAGCTCAGATAGACTTATTGTACTGTGGTTTGGATGTGTGTAATCACTATGATATTTCGATCAATCTGCAGTAGTACCTTAATGAGCACTCAAGTTGTTCTAATTCAAATGAATTAGATCCATTAAGTTCTCCTGCTGGCTGCTACAAAAAATTCCTCAAATTTAAATCTGTATTTAGAGGTTGCTTTTGGTAATTTTGTCCCTCTGTCTCTATAGATGAGAACATACCTTTCTCTACCATTTATCCTACTCAATGGAAAGAAAAAAAAAAAAAAAAAAAAAAAAGAACTGATTATATGGAAAAACATCTTATAAAAACATAAGAGTTATGAAGTTTTTATGCTCATTCAGTACATTTACATTTCAGACATTTTTGTAGCCATGTATAAACACAACAAAGATGCAGGTAGGATCTGAAAGCAACAATTTTCCACCTTTATTTCCTTCACCTCCTTCCATCTTGGATTGATCAGACAAATGTCTATTAATTACTCCAGTGACATTTGATAATCAAATTATGCCAGATCCTGTTATAAGCTCTGGTTTGCACCTAGACCCACCTCATATCCCTATCTTCAGGCAGAGACATTCAGCAGCCAGCTGTTTCTGATAAATCCATAAAATGCAAAAAGCTTGTATCATCTTTACTACAAATAAAATCTACAAGCAAAATGTTTCAGAACTATTTTGAGCGGACCAAGCTCTGGAAAAAGAAAATTCACATTCCAACTGATTTTTTGATATACATAGTAATTCATCATTAAATACTACTGCGACAAGAATATGCTCAACATGAATATTTACCATAAAGAAACATCAAAGGTGTTCTTAAATTCTTTGCCTAGATTACTGCCTTCTGCTAATCTACAAATTACAATACTACAGTTCTCTCACTTAGAAGTCATTAGCAAAAAGATAAACACTTTCATTCATTTTGTTTGTAATAGCAGTATTAGCAAAAATAGTCTATTCCAAAATTGATAATGCATTAATTCCCTGCTGTCTCTGACAATGCTGAATATAAAGTATCACTAACTATATACAGAAACCACATTAGTTCCAGTTCTCTGATGTATAGTTTACCAGAAGGGCAAACTATTCCAAAGCATCATTGCTTTGTAGGCATTAACAAGAAAGAATAAATATATTCACTGCATTAACAGGTGAAGTTAAAAAAAATTCACAAATTATTATACAGTACCTAAATCTCCATCTCCCCATGGCACTTCCAGCCAATTGCAATTATAAATCCTACTCATTTCTTTCAATCTGGAAAATAAAAAAAAATTAAAATAATAATAATAAAAAAAACTGCTCTTGCTAGTTGGACCTGTTCCTAAAACACTCTGGCTATGTTTGGAAGATCAGCAGCTCCCTGTAATACGAACTTTCAGCCTTCAGTAAACACAGCTTTGAATATATGAGTGTATACAAGTTGTCAGTTTCTTATGGTAAAGGACTGCTGTCCTTTTTTGTCTGTTTTTCACATTTCTTTCTTTAACATAAAAACTTCTCAAAGTGCCAGTATCTGTGCATTGGCTTTCCAAGACGGAAAAACTGGAATTTCAACACAAGAGAAACTCACAGTGAAATCAAGAAAACCTTGACATGAATAAACTGCAAGAAAAATACATTATTTTTTAACCTCGTGCAGAGACTTACAGTTTTGTGTCCTTAAAAATTGGTATCAGTACATAGATTTTAAGGGAAGCACTGCCTAATGTCCCTATGTTATTTTACTACTTACTCAAAATACATCTAGAAAAGAAACGCAAAGATATTCTGATCATGTTTCAAATGCTGTTCGAGCTGTACCTGAACTGTGTTTTTCTCTTACTAGTTCATTATTCCTTCAATTATGTTCTAAAATATTCTTTGGTTGTTGAATTGGGGCATTGATAGCTCTTCTCAGCAGTGAAAACATCCAAAAATAGGGATTTTCAATTCTGACTTTAATTCATTTCTAAGTCATTAATGTTATTTTCCTACAGACTTCACTCCTTTACATCTACCTGCAATTATCTATAAGTCATTCCTGCAATTATAATCATAGTAGTAAAATACTAAGTAAAAATATTTTCACAACAGGCTTTACCTCCAGTCATGTCATTCCTTTTGTATTTATTTCTAAAACTACGTGAAGTCTCCAAAAACACCCTAAAAAGCCAATAAAACAACAACCCTCAACTCAGTATAAAAAGTACATTAAAGGTTAGATTTTCAAAATAAGGACTGCCATGAACAAAGTTCTTCTCACTGACTTAATTGGGAGAGTATTTATACCAGGGCTCAGCACTTCAAAAAATGACTGCTCCATGGCTAATTGAGTCCCAGTCATCAGAAGAAGCACTATTATCAGAGAAGAACTGAATACAGAAGCCTGACACAGCTCATTGGTGGCAGGTGAGAAACACAGAGTATTTGGAAAGCACTGTAGATAATATTTATTTCTGCAAAACCAAAAAAAGCTACGTATTAAGACAAGCACTGCTACTTTTTATTTCTTAAGACGCATTCTGAGTGCTTCAGCTTCGGGCAACTGAAGCAACAGACAGGATCAATAACTAAAGAGAAAAACCCTGCAACACCAGAGTCCCAAGATCAACAGAATCACTTAACTCCAGTTGCTGACAGTGTCTGATATTTTGTATATATAATTAGGTTCTAAAAGATTTTTTTTTTGCGGCACTATAAAATTAATCATTTGTCTAAATCCCTTGTAGGATAAAGAAGCATGTCAACTACTTGATTGATATTAGATGTTAAAAACTATTGGAAAAAAATCTTCAATGAAGGATTTAAACTTTAAGAAATATATCTATGATGCTTAACTATCATGATTAGATATGGCCAGAAAAACTGAAGCCACTTTTTTTTTAATAAATGAAGTTTAAACAGTCAACACTGAAGAACCCCAAGAGAATCAGAACTTAAACTAGAGATTATTAAAATATGTCTGAAAGAGAAGATGTCATTCAAGTGGCATTTACACATCGCATTTCAATATTTCAAATAATCTGAAAATTCTCTAACTATATAACTAAATGTGTGTGTGTGTATATATATATATATATATATATATGTGTGTGTGTATATATATATATATATATATACATATATATGCATACTAACAATGAAAACTTGATTGGTTCATACCAGTATACTTTCCAATGTTTATCATAATGTAGACTTTCACAATTTGGGGGCTTCATTCCAAGCGTCACAATTTCCTACTCCTAAAAACCATACAAAGCAAATTTACTTTCCCACACAGTTCTGTCTCTAATGCACCTGCACCACATGACTGCACATTAGTTTTGCCATTCCAGTGTTGCATTCAGTGAATGAGTTAGCATTCAAAATTTTTTTATCTCCATATCTAGCAGGATCTCTTTAAGACATGTAATCCGAACTATAAACTCACTGTAACATTGTTAATTTTCTACTGCCTTTTTCATGGTATTGTCCCAATAACAAAAGAATACTTCAACTCCCCTGCTGAACCTATATCAGAACATCATCCATTCATACTATTTTATGACTGAGGAACTTAAAGACAGAGTTTTGATGCTTGAATTAGAAAATCATTCAAACAGCTTATTTTTTTCTGAGTTCTTAAACTAAAAGCACAGTTTAATTATGGTTGTGAGAGCTCTAGGCTTCTAAAATTTCAGCTTTAGATAATAATAACCATGATCAGCCAAAAAGCTTTTACATCAGATGACTGGTCTTAAAACACAAAGGTTCCAAAGCAAAGACAAGAATGGCATTTACTTTTAGGGGCATTAAAATATTAACCCTTTCTCCCTACCATTCATCATATGCCTTCTAACCTTTGCATTGAACAGCAGAACATAGGGTATGTTTTTTCTGAGTATAAAACTAATGCATTCTCAGATCATCATTCTTGTTGCACAGCTAAGGAGGCTGGTGCTTTTTGGAAGAGCACAGCATGTGGCTGTGCTGTCAAATACTGGGGTATAATGCACTGAGTGGTCAAATCTGTGTGGCACAGGTAACACTTTGCGAGTTTGGCATTGCACTTTTGCATACTTTTCCCACAGAAACACGAGCCACTGAACTCTATAAAAAAGCCTAGAATAACCCAACAGCAATTTCCATACACCGCTTGCTTGGTTCCCAACAGAAAGAACATTATGCTGTGTGAAGATGCTGGCAATGGCAATGGTGGGAGCAGCCGCGGTCGCTGCTGGATCTGCACTCAGCCTTGCACATGTGGGAAGGAGAGTGCCAGGCCCCTTCTCATGTCACGTGAAAGCACAGCCACAGCTCCATGCCCATTGCTCAGGCACAGGTTGTTTTTTCCATCTTCTTGAAGCATCAACAACTGTCTGGATATTTTTCTAATCTAAAGTAGCTTGCAAAATCTGTATGCCCTAGCTAGAATGTCAATATGTAAAATCACAAAAGTCTCCAAATTCAGTAATCTATTAGATCCTCATCAGATATGCCTGGAGTAGGAAGAGCAGCTGGTAATATTCTTTGGCTGTTAATATTTCCTTGGACATGTCACTAAAACAAAGTAAGGGCTTTTCAGTCCCCTTTCCAACTAGAAGGTGACAGAAAAGGTATATGGACATTCTGAGCTGAGATCTGATTCTGAAGATTAAAGTCTGGAATCATTTTGCTCCTAAAACACAGTCTCAGCCTTAATCCAGAGTACAAACAATTTTTCCCAAACTGTGCTGAGAATTCTCTGTATTTTCCCAGCCTGTCTGAGAGTGAATGCAGCCCAGAGTCTAATCCTAAACCTCATAAACAGCAAGAAATTGTACAGCAAATCTGGGCCCAGTGTGTAATTTCTGTCACATCCACAAGATTTTCAGGTTGTTGCCCCTCAAGCCAGTAGTCTAAAGGCCTTTTCCCATTTTGACTCTATCCTTTCACCTTTTCATCCAATCTTACAATATATTCCACCCTCTGAATCACTTTCAGTCCATTTTCCAATCTGCCCATTTAATTACAGACTGCATTGCAGTATGACTTTCTCTCCCTTTGCACTGCAAGGGTGCCTGTAGAGCCAAGTCAGGTTTGGATACCTGCACAGATGAAATAGAGAGGAAAGAAAAAAAGCATTCTTCGGACTTGATAAAAGATATACTTGTTATTCAAGTGCACTGCAACAATCAGAAGCCTTAAGTGCAACAGAAGTCTCTCAGTACTGCAGGATGTCTATCAATAAATGTATATTCCCAGCATGGCAATCACAAAGAGGTTTTAAGTAGCTAGACACTGTTAAAATGGATTCTACAGAAAATTTTAGTTTCCATATTTTACTCAGATTCTGAGAATTCCAAAACTAGAATAATTGTGGCCATTTCATTGCAAGAGTAGCAAGAGAACCTAACCTTCAATCATATAATGGAGTGGCTAGTACTGACACTGATAAACTCTTGTGAAATTTAGTTTCAGCTGAGGGATATTGTCCAAGCTTTTTTGGAAAATACTGACCTAAAGAGCTAAAATGACCATAAATAAAAGTTTCTTTAGGTCATGTAATCTTAGCCAAAACAGTGAAAAACATGAGGATAAAAGATGTTCTGTGTATTAAAGCTGATGAATAAATGCAATCATACAGTATCATTGCATTCAAATGGTTACTTGGAAGAGAAGGCAACTGGTGCCTAAATTCTTGAATATTGATGAGTTTTAAAACTGTCAGTACTGGAAATCATAAAAGGTATTTTAAGAATAAGAATATATTTTAAGAATATAGCTAACATATAGCTATATTTTACATGGTAAATTCACAGTTCCTTTATGTACAAGATATGAACTCACTCCTGTCTCCTGTCACTTACTACTTACTACTATTTTAACATTTCCATTTTTTTATTTTATATCATGAATTTCAAGCTTGACTTCCTTAATTTCTTTTTTTGTTTCACTCTAAACCTTATGTTAGCATCAATATTAAATGTTATTTTGATCACTCGTTCAAAAAATTCCTGTTAAGACTCTTGCAATTTTTCAAAGCTCCCTTTTACACAGTTAGACTAAGGAAAAAAAAAATTACAAGAAAATACGGCACAGGCAATAGGAGTCCTAAACACTTCTAACAGAGTTTATTCCTCATTGTTGAAACTGTCAATGTTCAGCAACTTAAATACCTCCTAAGTACTTCTCTATGCAAAGCCTTACAATTATATTTTGTCTTTAGTGTATTAGTACAGGACAATAATTCTGTCACCTGTGTTCCTCTATTGCCTCCTATTTCAGCTCTCAACAGACTCCTTACACATAAAGTT